TGGCTGAAAATATATTGTGCAGGATGCCCACCCTGGAGAGAACCAAAGTGAGTCCAAACAACCCTGAAATCTGTGTCAGGGACACAAAGCCAGACGTCTATCTTGTGACGGAAGGATGATGGCCCCAGGTACACAAAAAGCCAAAAAAAAAAAAAAGGCAACAGCTCGTGTGCCAGTAGATGCTGAGAACATTGGCACAATCGCCTATGTTGGCAGGACCAAGAGTTTGAGATGGCTAATTTAAGCGACAAGATCCTGGCAAACAGATTTATTTAGGGCAAGGGTGCGTCAGGAAGATGCCAGAAAAATACATCAATCTGTGCCTTTACATGTACTGTAGAGTGATGATGAAACAACTGACATTAAAAAAGCAAACCCTTATACTTCAATATAATCTGCAACTTATTCTAACAAAAAGTAGGGTTTACTTTAGATCTCTGGTACTCCAAGATGGGACTTGGTGTTCTGATCTGAGATCTATGATCAAGAAAATTTCCCTTCAAAAGGTGTTTTTGATGAGATTTCCCTGTATTGTTGTGCTTAATGGATTAGGCCAAGTGTTTTTATATATTGTTTAATTTATTTTAAAACACAAGCTAATTCATATTGGACACTATCATTCATGTGAAATAAAGAAAACCATTCATCTAAAATTTTACTTTTCTGAGAAATATATTATAGAAACTCAGTTGCAAAAAGGAAGAAGCCTGGGACTTTAACTGTAATGATAGAAGCTTGAATAGCTCTCTTTAGTTAAGAGTAATATTTTACTCTGCAAGAAGGCATGCTTTCAATGTCGGCTCTACATAGCAGCACATATTTGTGTATGGTTCCACAGGCAATAAAATAGGAAAATGTTCCATTTGGAGTGTCTTGCTTCCTCACATTACTTTTCATTTTCCTAGCTTCTCTAGATAGCCTCCTACCCTCAATTTCCCCCACCCGCTCCTTTTTTCTCTTAATTGATAATGACTCTGTCCATTGCATTTGCAATGAGTTAAGAAAGCTTTCATATTTAGCTTACTTAGGACTTTATTTTTTTTTATACAAAGATCAAATTTGCATAATTTAGCATCAGTGGGATTTGTCTAGACTCAGTCTTCCTATTCTAATTTGACTGCTCCTCTTCATCCCTGAGGCAGGAAGTAATATACAGAAGCAACAGGCGAAGATGGGTTCTTCCATGGGAAGAACAATTCTAGATTAGGAAGTCTGGTGACTCAATAAACTGACAGAAGCATAAAAGCTAAAGCAGCTCTGCCTCATTTATACTCGCAATGGCTTCCTTTGAGACATGAGACAGCAATCAGTCTTTTCTGTAAAGTGAAGGAATCAGACTCTCTAGGTCTCCCCCAACTTGAATATTTGAGGAATTGTAAATTAAGGAGGGACATTAGGGAGTCTCTCCTTACACAATGGCTGATTCTTTTATTTGTTTTGTACATTGACTACAAATGGATTGGTAGTTAACTGAATCATATTTTGATTAAAAAGCTCATAAAATTTTCTTTCTCCTTACCTATGCTTTGATTAATTAATTGATATATAACTGCTCTGATTCCAAATCTTTAGAATGTGACTTCTTATTCTTTTTATTCTCTCCGAAAGCTTTTAGAATCTTCTATTTACCCCTGGAATTCTGAAATTTCATGATTGTGTATGTTAAGAAATTACCAAGGACAAGGAAAGAATCATTCAAAAGGAGCAAAGTAAACAATCCACAATCCAGTTCATGAGAATAGTTCCTGTTCCTGCCAGGCAGAGTAGACTCACATAATTCATGAGGCCTTGGGTAAAGAATTTAGAAGGGTGTTGCCTCAGTCGCAGGACAGAATTAGCCCTACACAAAAGACTGAACTAGTTCCACCTACCAAAGCTTAAAATCAAGCCTCAAAAGGACAAAATTATTTCCAAGTATCGTATCTGCATTTCAAAACAAGTCTCAAAAATATTTAGAGGACTACAAAAATATCCAGCACCCAAAAAAGTAAATTTCACAATGCCTGGCATCCTATATATGTAAAATTACCAGTCATGCAAGAAGCAGGAAATTATAAGCCATAATAATGAGAAAAATCAGCCAATAGGAACAGTGCCAGAAACAGCACGGATGACAGAATTAGCAGACAAGGAAATTAAAATTGTCATTATAATTATGTTCTATATATTCAAGAAGCTAGAGAAAAGATTGAACATAGTAAGGACATAAAGATGTAAACACACACACACAAACACACCTAAATCAAACTGAGAGAGGGAAAAACTACAATATCTGAGATGAAAAATGAACTAATTGGGATTAAGAGAATATTAGATACTGCAAAAAGGGGACAGAGAAAAGCTTGCAAAAACAACATGAACAGAGCATCCGTGAGCTGTGAGACAATGTCAGGCAGCGGAATAGACACGTAAGTGGAGTGCTCAGAGGGGAGGAGCTGGAGGATAGGGAAAACGTGAAGAAACAAGGGCTTTGTGTGCATTTGTCTACCTTCACATGATGTTCTCAGTGCCTAGCAAGGCGCCTGTAGGCATCACACACTCGGTATACATTTCTTGAACACATTTGTGGCAGAACAACGGCTAGGAGATAAGCACATGAGTGCTATTGCGGGGTAGAGGGCCAGGGAGCAAAAAGGAAACCATATGCACAAAAGGAAGCTTAGTTAAAGTGGCACGTCTTCAGCAGGGACCTGAGCGATGAGTTCAGTTTCAGGGTGTATACAGTTTAAAGAATTGGAGGAGATGAAGAAGGGTATTCCACATAAGAACAACATAAATGAAGACTTGGAAGCAAGAATAAACACGGCTTTGAATATAGTAGTCCCCCATTATCCGTGAGGGACCCATTCCAAGACCTCCACTGGATGCCTGAAACCACAGCTAGCACTGAGCCCTATAAATATCATGTTTTCTGCTATACATACATACCTATGATAAAGTTCAATGTATGACTTCAGCACAGTAAGAGATTAATAACAATAATAATAGAACCATTATAACAGTATACGTATAAGTTATGTGAATGTGGGCTCTGCACCTCTCTCTCTCTCTCTCTCTCTCTCAAAATACCTTATTATACTGTACTCACTCTTCTTCTGATGATGATGTGATATGATAAAATGCCAAACCTATTTCTGAACCTGTGGACCATCCCTTACTTGCAGTAAATAGCTTGGTGTCACTTGTTTCAGGGGAATCCCTTGCTGAAGTCTGTATAAGCTCAATGCTTTCTGATGCAACACACCACTGTTGAGTAGAACACGTTTTCTGTTCGTGGCTTCCACCCACAAATTTAATGCCTTTTCCGTATTAACTAAGGCACTTATCATGCATTGTGGCGGTAACTTTTGCAGGTTGAGGTACAACAGCAAAACTAGCACGAATTTCTTTTTCCTTCTTCACAATTTCACAGGTAGAAGACTTAATCTTACCACATCTTAGCAACCTCAGCATATGTTTTCTTTCCTTATTGAGAACTTTCACCTTTTCATTTAAAGGAAGTAATTTATGTCTTCCCTTTGGCATATTCGATTTGCCAGCATCACTACTCTCATGCTTTGGGGTCATTATTAAGTAAAATAAAGATGACAAACACAAACACTGCAATACTGGGAGAATGGATGTGATAACTGAGGCGGCTACTGTGTGACCAAGGGGCAGGAGTGTCGACAGTGTGGATACATAAACTCGGACAAAGGGATGATTCACGTGCTGGATGGAAAGGAGCAAGATAGAGTGAGATTTCATGATGCTAGTCAGAATAGCGCACAATTTAAAACGTATGAGTTGTTTATTTCTGGAATTTTCCATTAAATATTTTTGGACTGTAGATGAACGCAGATAACCGAAACACGGAAAGCGAAACCACAGATCAGGGGGGACCTCTGTACCACCTCAAATGGAGTAGGGTAGCGCTTGAGGGATAACAGAAAAGAGCTTAGATGGATGAGTTAGGGTCAGAGTATGAAAATCTTTAGAAATAGGAAATGGAGAAACCAGTGAAAGTTTCTGAACAGAAACCTTTGATGATAAAATCAGGGTTTGGGAAAATCAGAGGGGGGAAGAGTATAGTGGTGACATTCATGGTGGATTAGAAGAAAATATTACTACTGAATGGAAGGGGTGGGCCAAAGACACCCAGGAGGTTGTTAACACAATCATGCCATGAAGTGTTGAAACTTGAGAGTGCACCTAACGTATCAGCACAGAGTAGAGCTTGAATAAATGTTAGTGGAATTTAAATACTGGGTAAATTAATATTTCACTTAAATTAAGGACTAACATTTTTCTTGGTTCATGAAATTTTCAAAAGCTGCCCTAAAAATCTGTAATGCCTGAAGAATATTATTTGCTCCATATTTCATTTGTATAAGATTCTAGGTCGACTTTTTAAAATTACTTTGCGGTGCACCAAAGTGCCATGTTCTCTTCGTCACCCAGGTGTGTTTCCTGACTTCTGTGCTTTTCATCCTCACAAATAAGATTTGTAAGGAAGATTTGCACCTTGGGTTTTTTTTTAATTAACACAATGCTGCCACAAAAGGAAAATTTGTAATATTGGTTTACACACTTAGGTGTCCCCGAATCCCAGAATTTAAGAATAGAAAGTACCTCGGAGATAGGACACTTTGTTGCTCAAATGGGGAAGCTAAGGCCGAAAGTGCACAAGTGAGCACAGATCCACCAGCGGTGCAGCTGGGACAAAAATCCAGATTCTTGCACGTGATCTGAGAATTCCAAGCAGGTGAGGTAAGAATTGAATTCCGAGAGGCAGGGAACAAGAGGCGGGAAAACAGCCGGGAAAGCAGCTCTTTTCCACCTTAGGAGGCTGGGGCATTCAAGAATCTTGGAACCCCTAAAGGTGCTGCACATCACAAACCTCGAGCACCGAGGTTCAGGTACCTCCACCCCTAAAGGCCTGGGAGAGGCCCTAACTACGGAGCTCCTTCTCGCGATACCGGCCGCGCTCGCGCCCCGGGCTCCCGCGCTCCCGCTGGGCCCCGCCCCTCACCGCAGCCCCTCTGTCGTCATTTCCTGTGGGTCTGCGGGCAAAGGGAGAAGATGGCGGCGCTGGGGGAACCTGTGCGGCTGGAAAGGGGTGAGTGCGGCGGAGACCGGGACCGAGGAGGGCGGAGAGGGTGGAGGAGTGCCGTGTCGCAACAGGGGAGGAGGAGCGGCCCAGGCTCCGAGACCCGGAGCCAGGCTGTGCCCCGCGCTGGCGCCTGTGACCGTCGACGTCGCTGCGCCCAGCCTCAGGGTGGGTGCTTGCAGCCTCTTGACTAATACCCGGTCCCCTCCTCTGTTCACATAAACTCTCCTGGGGCACAGCACTGCTGCGCACCACCTGTCCGCGTTCGCAGACACACGCGCTCCCTGGGTGGCACAACAGACGGCGTTCAGAGACCTGTTAACCCGAGACACAGACATCACACACCCAGGTTCTCACAGACCACACGCACAGCACGTATTTATTTGTGCACAAACCCAGTGTCCCCATCCTTCACTAACATCCCGGACACCGGGCACAGGCACACAGAACCCCCATCCCCTTATTTACGCACAAACTCCATCATGACTTTCACCACAACCTCACTTTTATTTGTGTTAGGGTGTTTCCCGGCTTTGGTGCCCCTCCCAGGTTCAGAGAAAGTGCTTTAAAAATAATCCTACCGATTTGGTCTTGGGAAGAAGATTACATAACTAGGCTGCATAGTGGTAGATGGTGAAATATTTTGAAAGTGCAGTATTATTCCTTCATTACAAAACTCTACAGTTGCAAAATGTGGCTGGTTGCTTGCGTTTTAGAGCAGACTGTCAAGGAAAATAAGACCTGTTCTGCTGAATAATTAGAAACTGAAAAGTCAGTGAAAATACATGGTTATGCCCCTATCGAGGTCCTGTTACAGATTTTCAACAGTCCACTTTTTCCTCCCCAAATCCTGTATTTCAAACAATTTCAAGCATGCTTTTGACAAACCAGGATTAGAAGTCATTGATTAAGAGTCAAGAAGTACAAACTAAACAGTTTGAGTACCAATAAGTAGTAAACAGAATTTAGGAAGGAGATTGAAGAGATCTTGCAAATACTAACATTTGCTGCTACAGTCTGAATATTAAGTAACTTCAGCTCTAAGAAAGGAATACATTTTTAGAACTGTGTTTAGGGAAACCTCTTTCCTCATGAATTCAAACAAACAAATGCGCACTTTGCATTGTTTATTCCTTATGGTGTTCACTTTTGTAAGCTTCTGTAAATGACATTGTTTCCTCAGACCACCCAAGCATCATTTTTGACAGAGGAGTAGCTACTCGGGGAAGACTTGCTAATTTAGGCCTAAGACTGTGACATCTTCCTTCTAAGCACAGTGGCACTTTGCTTTGTAGATGGGAACAAATCTGTTTGATATTAACAGTAGTAGGTGTTTTTCTTTGAAAGCCAGTTGTAGGATTCTAACATGTTGGCAGTCTTTTGTATTTTTAGGTGCAGTACAAAATGTGAAACTTAACCTCTGGCATTTAGTTTTTGGGTAGTCATGGCTCTGTTTTTTGCTGTTTCAGAGTTCTTTTCAGTTCCACAGTAGAATGTTCAGTGCCTTAGTAGGATGAATTACCAGTGGTTGCCACTTAGCAGGATAAGAAAGTCAGATTACATCAACTCGGATTCTTATTTAGAATTCTGTTAATAGACTCTATTACATGTTGCCAACAATCCTACAGTATAAAATCAGTGCTATGATCAAGATCCCTGTGCGCCTTCTAAATCATAATAACATGATTCAGTAGACTACATTTTGCACATATTAGGTAATGTAAGTTCAGTAGAGAGTATTTTCAATTTTTTAATTGTATATTGTAACTTTGCAAATTAAAATAATTGATGAACCAACAGTCCCCATTCACCAGCCATTCTAGTGGTGTGATAATCAGAATGGGGAAAGTCTGTTTCCATTGTATATTTAACATCAGTTTAAGCTTGTATTACCTGGAATTGGAAAATCTACTTTTTTCTTCACTACATTTATTCCTAGTTTTCCAGCCACAAACACAAAGAAGGCCATATTCTATGAATACGAAGTTCTAGTCTCTGTATAATACAAAATTCAGAACTCCTTCCACTTAAAAAAAGGCAAGGAATAGTAGAATAATAGATACTCTAGCCCCCTGGGGTACAAAAACCGTTTTAAAAAGATAGGCATTAACAGTGTTGTAACATGACTCTGACTCTCATAAAATTTCTTAATTCATAAAATAGTTACCTTCACCCTTCCCAATGAGAATTGTCTAACATGCTTAATATATTTGTGTAAATGTGTACCACCCCTTAATCTTTCTTAGGATTAATTGGTGCCAAGTGTAACAGAACATTTATGCTTGCTACATGCCAGACCCTTTTCTGTGTATTTTTTGGTTTAGTCATTAAGTAATTTTTACAAGGAAGGTATTGTTATTTCCATTTTACAGTGGAGAAACAGACGCATGATCACCACTACTATTGAGACCAGAGTGACAATACTCAGTTTTTAGTTTCCTATTTTGTAAACCTTTGTATTTGATTGTCTTAATTAAAACACCATTTTGTTTCTAAGTTGAAAACAGACCAGTTTATTTTATTCATCTTTACCATTGTTTTAAATGTGCCCCTGCCACTAACTGCATCTGTAATTGAACAGTTTGTATCTCCACAGATACTGTGTTTTCCTTTGGGAAATGAACAGTGATCTCACTAGCACACAATGTTTTGTACTGTTCAATGCTTTGATTGCTAAAAATGATAGGTAAATTTTTATGGACTGAATAGCTACTGATAATACTGTCAGCTCTTCTGAAGCAGTACAAGGTTCATATGTCTGTCACATTTGAGCCCCAGTCCTTTCCTGTGACAGTATTTTGCATTCAGTTTTCCTGTCTCTCAGAGATGCTTTTTCCCAGATTTTGCATGTGTGCAACATCAATATTTCTTCCTAATCTGTAAAATTTAGCATTCCTCTCAGATTTTACATTCCTATCCTCATATGTACACACACACACACACACACACACACACACACCGCACAAGCTCACACCCTTATGGTTTTTTCCCTCTATGTTCTATAAATTGTTAGTCCTGGAGGAATGAATCCTTACTGCTACACTGTTACATAGGTATTTAGAGAATCTTCAGAGAAAATTATCTTATCACTGTGTGTTTGTTTAACTCTAGATATTTGTAGAGCAATTGAATTGTTGGAAAAACTACAAAGAAGTGGAGAGGTACCACCACAGAAACTTCAGGCTTTACAAAGAGTTCTGCAAAGTGAATTCTGCAATGCTGTAAGAGAGGTGAGTAAATGGGATTAAAATTTACTAAAAATTTCAGTTAATTAGATAAGATAATAAATACACTGAAATTGGGTGCAGGATTTCTTAAGAAAACAAACCTTAGAAAAACATTAGAACCTATCCCTCTCATTTTTAGACTTTCTAATAGAAAATGCATAACTTCTCTGATGATTAGTGATGTTGAGCATCTTTTCATATGTCTATTGGCCATCTGTATGTCCTCTTTGGAGGAATGCCTATTCAGGTCCTCTGCCCGTGTAATTGGATTGTTTGTTTGTTTTTGTTGTTGAGTTGTATGCGTTCCTTATATATTTTGGATATTAGCCCCTTATCGTGAACACACAATGTGATATATAGATGATGTATTACAGAATTGTACATCTGAAACCTGTGTAACTTTACAAACCATTGTCACCCTAGTTAACTTTAATTTTAAAAAAAAAGAAAGAAAATGCATAACTTTGCCTAAACTTTTAACACATCCAGTAACATCAAAGAACTCAAACATCATCTATTCTGAGATTTAAAAATCACAGTGGTAACTTTGGATTTTATAGGTATATGAACATGTCTATGAGACTGTGGACATCAGCAGCAGCCCAGAAGTCAGAGCTAATGCCACTGCAAAGGTAAATTATTTTCATTTACTCAAATTGAGAGAATTCTGTATAAATTGGAGGTTTAAAAATGCGATTATTAGATTCATAATAGGCTTATTTTGAAAACTAACATTTAATGTCCTTCAACCTACACAGTACTTGTTGCTCAAGTACTAAGCAACAGGACCTTTGTTATCGTCTTTATAAAAGATCATCTATCATGCAGTTTAGATAATGCATTAAAAATACACTTGCACACAAATAATAATACACATAATACATAGTTACTGTATGTATTATACAATATTCATATTTAACTATACCATTATATAAATTTTTATCAAAATTCTGAGGTATGAATTATTATCCTCATTTTCTTGGCGAGGAACCATCAGACTAGGTTACCTGCCTCAGACCACACAAATAGTAAATGGTAGGGCTGGCCAAGTGGCGCATTGGTTAGGAGTTGGCTTGGGACGCCAGCTCTGAGCAGCAGGGCCCCGGTTTGGATCCCATGTGAGGGCCAGTGATGCTGCGCCCTCTACAGCTGAGATGGTGAACAACAGCTCGACCTGGAGCTGGGCTGCCATGAGTCGCCGGGGCCGGTGTAGGCTGTGGTGGGGCTGGCGGGCAGCTGGCTTGCACTTTCGTGAGCTGCCGTGAGCGGCTGTCCAATGGCTGGCAAGCGACTGCCTTATCCAGGCTGAGCGCAATGATAATCCCAACATGGGCCAGTGAAGCAACATCCTCCACTACTAGACTGAAGAACAAAAAGGACAGCAACTTGTCTATTGGCCTTCCCCAATTTCCCAATGCTGTTCACCTCCCCCAATACCCCAATAAAAAAATCTTAAAAAAAAAAAAACCAAACAAATAGTAAGTGGTAGAACTGGGATACTCACCAATGTTGCTCTTTGCTTTCTTCTTTACCTCAACTCTGCAAATACAGAATAATGTCAGTAGAAGGTTATCTCTTCAGAGCTGCAGATGGCAGGTTTTATGTGATTTCTGTACCGGCGATTTCCTCTAATTCCAGCACTGATCTTAGTGTCCATCATATATGGTTTATAAGTTAGTATCAGCAGTAGATGACTTATACTAGAGCTAGTCATTAGCAGGTAATTTTTTCATTGGTAGTTACTAGTTCACAAAAGGAAATATTGGATGCTTGGTTGAAGACAAACACTTAAACATGTGCATGTTGTTTGAAAGAGTAGGAAAAAACCATAGAAACTTGGCTTGAATTCCTGAGTTATATGACCTTTACTGAGTGTCTGAGCCTTAGTTCTATAATATAGTCTATAAATGAGGCCTCTTTCAGAGCTTAGAACAAAGTAGTAGTCAACAAATCCTGATTTCCTTTCTCTAACCCTTCCCGTGCTCATGCATCCTGATCTATCATGAAAAATGGCACCAGAGTAATTTCCTTTAAAAGCAAAATAAAGCCAAAAAATCTCAACTTTGTGTTAGAATTAGTCTAGATTAGTTTAAATTTGAAAATTTTAAAGAGGTGGCTTTCTTCATCTTCTGTGGGGTTGTGGTAGTAACTAGGTAGTTAATTAAAGCAATAAAAAACATTCATGTTCGCTCTTTGTCCTCTTTTTCTTGATACTGAGTTATTTCTTGATGAATTATTTAGTGTAAAAACAGGTAGTCAGCAGCCAAAATGCCTGTGTATAAGGACACCTACCTCATAGGTTATGTGGGTGAGGGACGTCCTGCGCAAAGGCTCTTAAAGGAGCCAGGCTATCCAGCCCACAGCGCAAGACTGCTGGCATGCTGGAGAGGGGCTCTCTGTATGTCAGTCAGAGTTCATCTGCCCAGCAAGCCTGCTTGCCAAGTGCTGCACAGAAGTTCTGGGCACAGATGGACTGACCTGAGCAATCTTAACACTTCCTGCATAGTTCCCAGGTATGCTTTTTAGTCATCTTTAAAACACCATCCACTTGGCTTACCTTCCCCTCAGCACTGCATGTGAATTGTCGTGTTCAAGCCTCAAAAGTGTGTACCTCAAAGGTTTTTAAAAAGAAACTAAAGAACTGAAGTAAACAAAGGACATTTTTTTAAGTATGTAAAGTTTTCTTTCAGGCTACTGTTGCTGCATTTGCTGCCAGCGAAGGACATTCTCATCCTCGAGTTGTTGAGCTACCCAAAACAGAAGAGGGCCTGGGATTCAATATTATGGGAGGCAAAGAACAGAACTCTCCAATCTATATATCTCGAATAATTCCGGGTGGAATTGCTGATAGACATGGGGGCCTCAAGCGAGGGGATCAACTTCTTTCTGTTAATGGAGTGGTAAGGATGCTTTATTTCTATTTGTAGTAATGTGCTGTGGCCACTTGGGGGTGCCTAGGAGTTATAGAAACAGAAGATGCAGGGGAAAAAAAACAAAAAGCTTTGTTAATTTAAAAATCCCTTGGGGGGAATCCTAGGCAGTACTATTTAGTACAGTGTACAGTGATACATTTTAAAGGACTTTAAGTGTGTTTCGCTTCTCTCCAATATAAATTAGCAATGCTTAGTGTGATTTTTTTTTTTTTTTAATGAATTAAGCTGTTTGGTAGTTAAGGCAGTCATTAAATTAGAAGCCTCATTTTAGTCTTATAGAATGACAATTGCTTGATTTATTTCTGGTTTAGTGAAATAATAGGGCATGTAGATTGATATGCTAATGATTTGGATCTTAGAAACCAGTTCCTGGACTACAAACAGAAGATGACTTAGAGGATTTCACACTGATTAAAATGATAAAGCTGTGGTGGTTCATAGATTGATAGTGTTGAAATGATATAACATTAAAAGTTTTTTACCCATGCATTTTAAGCATTTTTGCATTTTGAGTGACTTAACAAGACCTAGATATTAATTATGTTTTTTTTCTTCTAGAGTGTGGAAGGAGAACATCATGAAAAAGCTGTAGAACTGCTGAAAGCAGCCCAAGGAAAGGTTAAATTAGTGGTACGATATACACCCAAGGTCTTAGAAGAAATGGAGTCACGCTTTGAAAAAATGAGATCGGCCAAACGCAGGCAACAGACTTAATGCAGTTTAAAACTTTGTATTCCATTTTGCTTTTAGCTAGAGAAGTTTTACTTGTGACCTACTGATGGCCGCAATGCCAATGATTGTAAAAAAACAAACAGAAACTTCCTGTGAAATGCTCCTTGCCATTTTATAAATTCCTATTTTAACATCATTTGTGGTTCCAGAGATGCATATACTTTTTTCTGACAAGAAAAAGTAAAGGTGATGAGGGCACTTCTGTCCTGCTCTTTTTACAGGCTTTTTTCAAATGCGGATTTTGTCATAAAATTGTTATAGATTTTTAAAAATGCTTTTTTAATATTAAGATGTACTTTTACATTCTTAATCTTTTTTTAGAAAAAGTTTTCTTCATTTGGCTGCTTATTTAAAAAGAACAGTTCTCCAGTTCTTTTCTTGCTTACTCAGTTTTTTTTTTAACCTGTAAAATTCCTTTACGGTTTTCCAAGACACTAAACAGTTTCAGCTACAGCATTTGATTACACTGTCAATGTTAACATCACTGCTGCATTTTCTACTTCGAACACACGTATATAATCACTGGCAAGTCATAACTCAGCACAGTGGAAGTTTTTTACTTTTATTTAACATAATGTATAATGAATAGTCATTTATACTGATTTATAAAAGTTTTTAAACACTGAAACAATCATTGCTAAAATATGTATTCTTTCATAATATTTGAGCAGCAAGGCAAGATGATGTAATTTGATTTTTAGCATTACAGATTACATCTCTTTATATTCAACAGTTATCAAATTACAAATGCAAAAGCAAGTTCAGGTTTCAGCTTTTACAATTTTTTTTAATGCTGTTCATTTTTATGTAAATATATTTCTTATATTTTGGTCCTTCCATTCCTAAAGATGAATCAGTTAGTTTGTGGTGGGAAATAGCAGAAGCAAAAAAGAGCAAGTATTACTTTAACCTCACTAGCCTCAAGAGTTACACTCTCTTACTAGCTCAGTTTAAAGAATTGATTTTAAATAGGATTATAGAAGGATGTATTGACGATATATAGAAATTATGAGGCGATGTATTCATAAGAATCTGCAGGCTCTTTGTCAAAATGAATAGGAACTTAAAATGGTTGAATTTAGAGATGTGACCTTGTTTATGATTCAGATATGATGAATTTTGAGAGATACTTTGATTTGTCCACTGGATGTCACTATTTTACTGAAAGGCAGCTATTAGTGTAAGACTGACTAAGGTCTTTGTAAAGGCTGAAATTAAGGAGTTGAGGTTCATTTTCAGTCACAACTTATAGGAACATTTGTATGGGTTTTTTTTTTTTTTTATTTTAAGTGACAGATGCTAAAAAGAAGGTAATGGTTAGAAATATATAAGGAATTTAGACCCTGTGTAAAAAGGGGGCATTTTATAACATTCCTTCAGGATGACTAGAAATGTATACCTTTTTCTGCATGTTTGTGAGCACTGTGACTCTTAAAAGATTATTCCAATGTTCAATGATTTTAAGAATAAAAGTCAATCAGCATAGTTATTTATCATTTAGGTATCGAACACTGGATTGCATGGTTGAATGTGTCTTTAGTCCACTATAAAATGTGCTTGTTATTGATAGGATCATGTTGTTAAATTGTATATTTTCAAAATTCATTGTTGTTTTTAAAATGTCGAGACCAAAGTAGCATAGAAAAATTATGGACTTATTTTAATTTAATTGTAAAATTATTAGAGGTATTTGTTGTAGAGCTTTATATATTAAAGAGAGGTATTGGTGCATATAAAAACAGTAATATTGTTATGCTCGTTTTCTTGCATTACAGGGTAAGGAAACCCTAAAGAAATCTTATTTTAGTATAGCTACAGCTGCAGTAGCTTTTAAGGGTGTGTCAACATTTCATTATAAATTATAGCTTCCTGGTTCAGTATCTCAGCTGTTTCAGAACTTGCAGCCAAGTTAAATCTTTTTTGGTGTTGAAACTTAGTAAGTTGAGTAAGCTATTTTTTTTTCCTTCTTCTACAGTAATTCACAATCTGTTCTTTGTGTGGGTTGGCACTTATTTATAATTCTTAAAATAAAGATAGCTTAAAGGAGCCAGATACAGTAGTTTTGCTTGCTACTGTTGAGCATGAGTAGCAGTAGTTTGTTTTCATTAATGCAGTTTTCACAGTGTACCCCAGAATTTCAAATCCTGACCATAGAAAAAGTCATTCAGTGGCAAAGATGAACAGTAGTGGTTTAGTATAGTGAGGAAATGAAGGGATTTTTCATCTTATAAATAACTGTATGATTCATGAACATAAGTAGGAACATAGTATATAATAGGTGTTTGATTTGTAAATTATATATATAACTATTGCCCCCTCCCCAGTTTCCATTTATTGGGTCGTCGGGAAAGTCATGACGTATTTTTGCATTGAAAAACAGAAAAATACATCATGACTTTCCCGACCACCCAATATTTTCTTGGTATTTCAAAATGAATTGACTCAGTGATTCTGAACCTTAGCTGCATATTAGAACACCCTGCAGAACTTAAAGAAATGTTGATTCCTGAGTCCCATCCCACACCAACTAAATCAGAATTTCTGAGGGTAGGGCCAACACTATTTTTTTTTTTTTAAGGTTTCTGGGTGGTTCTGAAGGACTTATAGGATTGAGAACCACTGATTTCCCCCTTTATAAAATGCTCTAATTACACTGGACTATATTTGGAAGTATCAGAATAAAATAATTCAATTTACAGCTACTGTTAAGTAGCAGCAAATATAATGATTGTTTATAGTCTTAATTTCTTGAGGAATAAAAGGTACTTGGCATTCTTTATTTGGGAAGTAATCACAACCCACCTTTCTCCTTTTTTTTTTCAAATAAAATCTACCAGTAGGTTAAATGTAAACATTTAATGTCTGTCATGTTTTTGTGTGTGCTTTGCCTTTTTAAAACTTACAAAGATAAATGTTTATTATTTGAGGAAGCATGTGTACAAACTGCAGATGAGAAATAATGTCATTGATAATTATATGCTGTCTTAACTTGGCCACTTACTAGCATAATAATAGATTATAGTGGCCTGGTTTTTTGGGGTTTGGTAATTCAGATGTGTTTTTTAAAAATCATTGTCTTCTACATTTTTGAAAGTTATTTTGTTCAAGTACTTAAGTAGTTTGGCTCAAGTACTTTGTTTACAATTTATATGGATATTATAGCATTTAATAGAAGAAATGGCCATGGCTTATCTGAAAAGAATGTCAGCATGACTTGGTGTGGACTTAAAAGAATACATGTTGTGCATATTTTATAATGTGGAATGATCATTGAAATATCAAGGACTCTAGTAATTGTATTTCCTGAATAAATGTATGTTTATGAATTTTCTAACATATTTAGTTGTCTCCTTTGCTAACAATCTGGTTTTATACTTTTCTTGTTCAAAATTTCACTAATAGTGTTTTTCAATCATCGCAGTTCTGTAATGGTTAAATAGTGGGAAAAAAACAAATTGCTTGCTCACTAATTTTCAAGAACTTCCAAACTGATTTGTATCTGGACATAGTTTTAAAAAAATATTAGCAAACAGTATGCTTCTATTTTAATTCTTTTTTGAGGTAAAGAAATAGAATACCCAAAATGGATTTAACACTTTTTCAACAGATGACTTCATTTATCAACTTAATTCTGATTCTAAGGCTTATTTAAAATAAATTTGTATTACCCCTTGTTCTTTGGATTTGAAATATATAACTGCACAACAGATGTGTTTCTGAACGCTGTGTATAAATACTTTTAAATGAGGTAAAAGCAAAATCTATGGTGGTTACTGGAATAAAACTTCAAATTCCTATATTTTGCTTTGTCTTTCATAAAAATATAACTACAGAAAAAAGTTCTCGTGTTATTTTAAGAAAGGCAGTATGGCATATGTTTGAGAGCACAGAATCTGGAGCCTGACTACACTGGTTTAAATCCTAGGTTCACCATTACTAGTACCTCACACAAGTAACTTAATTTTCCTGAGCTTTAGTTCCCTTGTCATGTGCAGTAAAAGTGCCTGTAAATGTTCGATCATTACCTGGAAAGCCTTTAGAAAGGTGCCTGGCATAGTAAGTGCTGTTGTGTTTGCTATTGTTTTCATGTAAAATAGCATCAGGACCTTGTTAACATTGTGGCCAGTAATTAAATATTAGCAAGTTATTATTTTTGATGCCAAGGAAAGAGATAACCTTTAATTTGTGCTTGAAAATTTTAAAAAGGAATAAGATTCATAGGAATGTTGAGATGTCTGCAGTATGATCACAAACTCCTGGAATTCTAAAATGAGTGGGATTTTGAGGGTGAAGGGTTGAAATCACATGCAGCATGGAAATCAAGGCTATAAGTCTCAGGAATTTTTTCAGTTAAAAAAGTAATTTATAGGGAGGATATGACCTCTAGAGACAATGGATTGTTGGAATTGATGGCAGACGATACAAGGCGTAATTCACCAATACGAATTTTTAGAAAGCATGAAAATGTACCAAGCAACCACGGTTACAACAGAAAGCATTTATTGTTAGCCCTCAGTTTCTTCAAAATTTCAGTACACCAGAATACCCATCCCCTAAATATTCAATTCTGGTTTGTTGCATTTACTACCATTGATTATCCCGGCTTTAATGCAATGAAATGGTGACCAAAGTTTTTGTACATTTATTTCTATGCTGGCAGAACACCACCTGCTGAAATCTTTAAGACTTTATACACAGAGCAAAAGGTAAATTCCTACAGAGCCTATATGTCAATTTTATTCCTTTGATTTTAAAACTTTGTAAAAAGGACAAATGCTTCATGTCAACAAGGTATGTGTAAGAACTCTCCTAATTCTCATCAACTAAACAAAGGTATGTTTTGGCCACAGTCAAGATTTGGTCCCTTAAAAAAGCTTTCTCCAGGAAGGGAAGTATGGAAGAATTTTAATTTGTTACAATCTCCAGAATTGTTTTAACCAATTGGATAAAAAGGAAAAAAATGTAACCATTGGCTACAGATAAGCTCCCCTTATATGGCAGTTACTAAAAGTAATTTAATTCATTTCATCAGCGAGTAACAAAAACCCAAACCTTTAATTTTGTTTTTTATTTGGCAAAGCAATGCAATCTGAAAGCATGAAATAGCCAAGAGAAATTTTTTATTTCTCGTATCTCTTATTTGATATACTTTGAGCCCAGAATTTAGATACTACCTAGTTTTTGACTTTTGTATTTTAGGTGTTATGGGTTGGATCACCCCTCCACACACACATCCCCCAAGAAAAAGATATGTTGGAGTCTTGACCCTTCAGAATGTCTACAGAGATAATCCAGTTAAAGTGAGATCATTAGATCTAATTCAATATGGCTGGTGTCCTTATTTAAAAAAAAACAAATTTGGACACAGACACACCCAGAGAGAAACCATGGAAAGATGAAGGCAGATGTGACAACATGGGTGGACCTAAAGGCTATTCTGAGTGAAATAAGTCAGACTGAGAAAGATAAATACCTATGATCTCACTTATGTGTGGAGTTGAAAGACCAGAATAAACGAATGAACAAAATAGACTCATAGATACAGAACAAACTGGTGGTTACTAGATGGGAGGGGGAGTTGTGGGGCTGGGTGAGAAAGGTGAAGGGATTCAGTACAAATTCATAGTTATAATCGGGGATGTAAATTACAGTATGGGAAATATAGTCACTAATATTGTAAAAGCTAGTGTCAAGTGGGTACTAGATTTACCGGGGGAGTGAATAAATTATATAAATGTTTAACCAATACGCTGTACACCTGAAACTAGTATAAATAATATTGAATGTCAACTACATAAAAATATTCACAGCGGGACATGTACAGCATAGGGAATATAGTCAATAATATTACAATAGCTGTACAGTGTCAGATGGGTAGTAGACTTACCGGGGTGATCACTTTGTGAGGGGTGTAAATGTCTAATCGCTATGTTGTTTTGTGTACCTGACATTAATAAAAAAGATGAAGGCGGAGATTGGGGTGATACTTCTACAAGCCAAGGAGTGCCTAAGAGTGCCAGCAAACGACCAGAAGCAAGGAGAGCCGTGTGAACAGGTTCTCACAGCCCTCAAGTAAGGAACCCTGAGGACGCCCTGAGCTAAAACTTACAGCCTTCAGAACTGTGAAACCACCAGTGTCTCTTATTTAAGTTCCCAGTTTGCGGTACTTCGTTATGGCAGCCCTGGAAAACTACAGTAATACAAAAGGGAATCCACATTCTAGCAGCAGCATTATCAATTATGGATACTGAGGCAAAATTCAATGTGGCTTCTCCCATGTGTGATAGGTTTCCGTGGAAGTGGTTTGGGTTAAGAAAAGATGAGATTTCTGGCCTCGGGGGGCGAGGGGAATGCTGAGTTTTTTTGTTTTCTGTGGTTGGAAGGTTTCCTTAGACACCTGTGCAGCTGTGTAATTGAGCTCCTGCTTCCAAGTGGCCGCCTGGACCCATCAGCCCCTCAGAACCAGCGTTTTTTCTCGTTTTAGGCTGCCAGTGACTGCATGGCTGCATCTTTCTCAACTCAAGGGCTTTCCAGGAGTTGGCAGTGGCAGAAGATTCAGCACAGAGAGATTTCTGCAGCAGCCTTGCTCCAATTGGATTGTGATAAGAATTTGTCTTTGGCCGGGGTGTTTGACCCTGTAAAGGTTTGTACTGGCTCCTCATGGTCCGTGTGCCCGATGGGAAGCAGATAATTCAACCAGAACCAATTGTGTTGCTCCATCTTTAAGACTCTCCGTTGAACGTTGATAAAATCCAAATATCTTGCCATGTTTTAAGAGGTTCTGCAGAATCCAGTTCCCTGCTTTCACTCAAGCCTCATCCCATCCCACTGCCCCACTTGCTCTAACTCCACACCAAATCCCCCTTGCTGGAAGGCTCTCCCTCTGGTTCTTCCACTGGCTGGCTGCTCCCATTCAGGTGTAAGCTGAAGTCACCACTTCTGTTAAGCTGCCTTTCCTCTCCATCTGAAGGTAGGTTCCTCATCCTCTGTTAAGTGGCAACACCTTGTTTATATTACATGCTGAATTATGCCTTCTGCATTAGAATTTAAGTTCCCTGGCAGCAGGAAGGATTGCAAATGTGTCCTTCACATCTGTCCCCCCATCACCTTGAACAGTGCCTAAAACCTAGTATGGTGATCAATTATGCACTGTTAAATTGGTTTACTTCCCATAATTCCACAGATAGATCAAGAACTTGAATTGGAGCCATATAAAAACAACAACATGCACACCTGAGTTAGGCACATAATTTGTTAGCTGATCTTGTTAAAATAAATGTCTAAGAAAGGACCAAGATACTAACGGGGTAATACCTTTGCCAATCTTTTATCACCTCACTTAAAATGATGAGTTCCAAAGATGTGGAGAAAAAGGATCCTTTATGCATTGTTGATGGGATTGCAAATTGGTGCAGCCACTATGGAAAGCAGTATGGAGGTTCCTCAAAAAATTTTAAAAAGAACCACCTTATGACCGAGCAATTCCAGTTCTGCATATTTATCCAAAGAAATCCAAAACACTAATTCAAAAAGATATATGCACCTCTATGTTCATTGCAGCGTTATTCACAATAGCCAAGATATGGAAACAACTGAAATGCCCATCAAAAGACATTTGGATAAAGAAATAGTGGTACATATATACAATGGAGTATTATTCTGCCACAAAAAAAGAATGAAATCTTACCATTTGTGACAACATGGATGGACCTAGAGGGTATTATGCTAAATGAAATAAGTTAGACAGAAAGCAAATACCATATGATCTCACTTATATATGGAATCTAAAGAACAAAATAAATGAACAAAACAGAAACAGACTCATAGATACTGAGAACAAACTGATGATTACTACGATAGATAGAAGGGGGTTGGGAGGGTGGGTGGAAAAGGTGAAGGGTTTAAGAAATACAAATTAGTAGTTACAAAATAGTCACAGGGATGCAAAAAGTACAGTATGGGGAATATAGTCAATAATAACTATGTATAATGCCAGGTGGGTACTAGACTTATTGGGAGATCGCTTATTGAGTTATATAAATGTCTAACCATCACACTGTACACCTGAAACTAATATAAAATAATATTGAATGTCAGCTATAATTTTAAAATATAGGGGGACAGGGCCAGCCTAGTGGCTCAGTTGGTTAAGAGTTGGCTTAAGAGCACGAGCTCTGAGCAACAGGGCCGCCGGTTCAATTCCCACATGGGCCAGTGACACTGCACCCGAGCTGAGCTAAGCTGCCAACAGGTGGCAGGATGGCTCAGCTGGCATAACAACAAGACTGCCTGTTCGATGGTGGGCTTTGCCCACCCACAACTAAGACTGAACTCAGCACCTTGAACTGAGCTGCCGCCCGGATGGCTCAGTGGCTAGAGCGTGCGCTGTTAACAACAAGGCTGCTGGTTCGACTCCCACATGGGATGGTGGCTATGCCCACCCGCAACTAAGATTAAACACAGCACCTTGAGCTTAGAGGCTGTGAGCTGCCGACGGGCAGCCAGATGGCAACTGGCGCCCTCCACAATGAAGACTGAAGAACAACAACTTGGCTGGTCCCCTTCCCCAATTCCTCAACTCTGTTCCCCTCCCCCAATTATCCAATAAAATCTTAAAATAAAATATAGGGGGACATAATGTACAGCATAGGGAGTATAGTCAATTAAAAATAATATATGAGTCCCATTTGTGGAGGACAGCAATGAAGATAACTTTAATCTTTTGGTCTATGTAAAAATAATGTTAATAGTAGCTGAAATTTGTATAGTAACTAATGACTGATTTTTTAAAAAGTGAAT